AATATCACGGATCTCCATCCTCTCCTTCTTCTCCCGGTCTTCCCGAGTTCCCCTATAAACCCAAACAGACTGATTTTACAGTAAAGTTTCAGGCTGTAGCTGTAAAATAATCCAGAACCTGAACACTCACAGATCGACCCGGGTTCCCTGTCCTCCCAGGGAAACCGTTGCTTCCTTTATCACCCTTCTCACCCTGAACAAACAGAACAGGCCGTGACTTTCCTGGACTTCAGGATTTTTTTCATTTTCTCTGCAGGAATCTCAGACTCACCATTGGACCAGGATAACCAGGAAAACCAGAACTTCCCTGTGGAGAGAAACCAGTCATTTCAATTCAAGAATCAGAAAACTTAAATAAAACAAGTGGTCTGATGTATTTCAAAGCAAAAAACGCCACAGTGATTAATTTTTGTTTTTTCTAAGAAAGGCCTGTGTTTACTCTACCTTACTCCCTGGAGGTCCTTGTTCTCCAACACCATCTGGTCCCTCCTGACCCTGAAAACACAGAAAGGGAAACATTAAAAATGAACGACCATGAACAGACGAACATGAGCCACCTTCTGGAGATTCAGCAGATCAACCTACAGCTGCTCCCACAGGCACAGACAGTATGCTTTACCTACTAAACCCTGAAATAAATTAAAAAATTGCTCAATTTAAGATTGAAGATTAAATCTAAAGATAACAAGCAACATTTTCTCATCATAACGAGATGATTGATGTGTGTTAAAACTGATTCCATCCTTCAATACTACATCAGCGTCATGGCAGCCTATGTGTACTTCTGCAAATAATCCTGTGTTGAACCTTTAGGTAACAAGAGGACGTTGTTGGTTTGATGATTTGCTTCCTCTTCTGATTCATAAGCATTTAGACCTCTGCCTTCGCTTCCTTAACGCCGGGTGTTTTCTGCACAGGTAATAGATGCATTAACCCCCAAAATGAGTCCAGATTCAAGATTTTCATTCAAAAACTGTCAGATTTGTTTCTACTTTATTCATTCCAAAAACGAAAATAAAAACCAATCCTCTGGACTTTGTTTCCAAGTTTGAAGACGTTTTGAAGACGTCCAGGTTGATTCCGTTCTGTGTGTTTTGTGTTTGTCTCCCTTCTTCCACCAGGAGGCGCCTGATTCTGGTCCGCCTCCTCACACACCTGCTGATGGTTTAAGTGTTTAAGTGTTCTTAAGCTGCTGACTGCCACTACCTTGACGCCAGAGTGTTTGTCAGTTTAAGGTACTCTAGCCAAGCTGCGTTTTGCTGAGTCAAACTGAGATTTTGTCAACCTGAGTTTTAACATTTTTATTTTTGTCTTTGCCTCTCAGCAGGACGTCATCCTGCAAACTGGATGTTTCGGACCTTCTCTCCCTGGAAGGATCATCTGAGCTTCAAACTGAGTTGAGGATCCAAATTGGAGGTTTGGATCTACTTCCCTCCAA